GATAAAAGCTTAATGTCGGTATATTGAACATTATAAAAGCGGCATATCAGTGTTTTGAGTATGTGTGTGTGTGTGTGTGTGTGTGTGTGTGTGTGTGTGTGTGTGTGTGTGTGTGTGTGTGTGTGTGTGTGTGTGTGTGTGTGTGTGTGTGTGTGTGTGCGTGTGCGTGTGCGTGTGTGTGTGTGTACCGGGGTTGGCCGATTTAAATCAAGATGATTTAATTCAGTGATTTAAATCAATATTTACAACAAACAATTTTTAAGAAATAATTTATTTAAAAAAAAATTTGCGTCTGGCCAAAGCAACATGGAATTTAAAGGAAAACAATGAAAATAAACACATAATTACACTTGCTTTATATATTTCTGTGGAACAAAATCTTGGTTTTACAATTCAACAACAACAACAACAAATCCACATTCCATTAAAAATTAAATCAAAGGGATTTACGTACAATGAACTGTACTAGTTTCTGAGAAGTAGAATACTAAAGCACTTGCTTTTACAATACAGCACTACAAAAAAAAAAAAAAAAAAAAAAAAAAAAAAAAAAAACTCTGCATGCTATTAAAAAAGGAAGTTAAAGAGGTTTACTTATGATATATTATTATATTTATACCCTGAGGTAATGAATAAAAAAAAATCACGATTATTGTTGCCTGTATTTAAAATAAAAGCGCATTGAATTTATACTGGAAAAATATTCTTTGAAAAGTTATTATCCATTTCTGCTGAAGAGTAGCTCATAAAAACACAAATTATAAGTTCGTTGAAATTTAGATTTAAAAATTTGAAAAATTATCTTTTATGTTTAATTCTTATGACAATAAAGATGGCTCTTTTATGCATTCTGATCATTAGTATCATCAAATATATCAATTTTGTGTACATTCATGATTTTAAACAAAAACATTTTACTGCCTTTTAAATCTTCAGCCGGTTTCTCAGTTTTGAATGTACAATACCATAGCTTAAAAAATCTTTTTCAACGCCTGATGAAGCTGCCATTGCAGGCAGTAGTTGTTGTGCTGCTGAGATTATATCACTATCCAATACATTTGAACGTGACCTCCACCATTCAACAGCTGACATACACTTGGTCACAGAATCACTAAAAATAATTACATGAAAAGGAGACGATTTGGCTTGAAATTTCATGATGGCTGGGACGAGTGAGGGAAACTTTTCATTGTCAAAATCCATTGCATTATTCACTTCGTCTGCACTGAGCAGTTTTCACTGAAAGGTGGATCATGTTTGCAAGAAGATGAGCTTGTGTTATGACTTGGCCAAACCTCTTTTTTGCAACAGTTACTGCATCTCTGTCATTGCATAAAATTGTGATTAATACTTTCCATATGTTCAAAGCTTCAGCAGTTGTACATTCATCTGTTTGTACTTTGTCCAAAGCCACAGCTATTGGTTCTAGTCGTGCAAGTAGGTCCTCTGCTAACCACCTCCCACTGACCACTTCCTGAATTGGAAAGGAGCGTAACGATAGTTATTCATCATGTTATGTGTCGTATTATCAGTGTATCTTAAACATTTATTGGTTTAGATATGTCCAGTAATTGTATTTGTCACACACGTACATCCTTGGTTGCATTTGCCATGCACGTACACCCTTGCCCCCAGCTAACACAGACTATAGAAATACAATACATATACATTTTCCTTTTCACATACCACCACGCGTCCCTCGAAACAACCATATCAACAAAATAAGTCCTTGGGTTTTAACATTAAGCATAACTGTCGTCTCGCTGCTTCACCTCAACTTATGTTCTGCTGTTGAACTGAGAAACTCGCACACACATCTCTACTGGGCAATATTCGAATCTATGCTTTAAAGGCAGGGGATAGGGTGGAAGAAGAGAGGAAGAGGGAGAGAAAATGGGGAGGGTGATGGGAGAGAGGAAGATGGGGGAGGGAGAGAGTGAGAAGGGATGGAGAGAGATGGGGAAGAAGGGAGAAGAGAGCGGAATGTGGGAGGGAGGAGAAAATGAGATAGGGAGGGAAGAAGGTGCATGCGGAAATAATAACCACATTTTCATCACCATATCATCCTAATCTAATCACCATATCAGTAACACGGAAGACTTATCTCGCTGCAACCCATCGCCTTATGTTTTGCTGTTGACCTCCGAAACTCGCAAACATTTCCGCTGGACAACAGTCATCTCGTCGACCGCATCTTGACACTTTCAAGAAGGGGTGTGTGGAGGAAGGAAGAGAAGAAAACAAGGAGATGGGGAGGGAGGGACTGAGAAGAGAGAAATATTGCGAGGTCGAGGAAGATGGCAGATGAAGGAGAGGGAGATATGGGGGAGGGAGAAGAGAGAGAGAGTAAAGGAGAGGTGGGTAGGGACGTAGGGAAAGGAGAAAGAGATGAGGAAGGAGAGAGGAAAAGTTCTGGGGGAGAGAGGGAGATAGGTGAGGGAGTGAGAATGGGGAAGTGATAACCACAATCTTATCATCCTTATCAGACCCAAAGTCCCTC